TCTCTCTCTCTCTCTCTCTCTCTCTCTCTCTCTCTCTCTCTCTCTCTCTCTCTCTCTCTCTCTCTCGCTCGCTCGCTCGCTCGCTCGCTCATTTCTATCTATCTATCTCTCTCGCTCGCTCGCTCATTTCTAGGCGTTGATATGTCATAATTGAGCTGACCGGACGAGGGTAATTAAAGATTATATCTGTGTGTTCATCTGACTGCATCTGGACTTGAACCTGGGTCTGGATTTCAACAGCTGATGGGTGTAAAAACTGAGCTAGGTAGGCCCGTTGGTACCACCCACCCCACGACGCTTGTCACAGCACCAGCATGCGGAGGTTTTTTGGGCTCTTAATCCACCGCTACAGTAGCTACCGTCCTCATCCGAATAGAACGCCCGGTCATTATAGCTAGCCGTGTCTGGTACAATTTCTAGTCCAGATACCGCTATAATGACCGGAAGTTCTATTCGGGTGAAGACGGTAGTCGATCGGCCAGATCCGGCTACCCGTTGAAGAGGATAGAGAGAGCAGGAGGATCTCGTCTGTGCGCTTTGTGGGTCTGGAGAAAGGGGAAAGAGCAAGCTTGTAAGGCAGGAGAAAAAAAAAAAAGGGTGCAAAGAGGGCAAGAGGATGCGTGCAAGTCAGAGAAAAGGGTGCAAAAGGGGCAGTTGTAACCGTGCCTGGGCAGATAAGAGTTGGCCTGATTACATTTGAAGTACTCTCTTTGCGCTCACAAGGCACATATTATATACACTCTAACCGAACGAACGAGTTTAATACAAACCCACCCTTGAACACGAAAAGACGTAATGATATTATTTTTAACAAGTGGTGTGCTTGGTTCTTTGAGCTCTTCTCTGACATGCCAATGTTTTCTTGCATGGGCTCAATGCTCCTGCATGCAAGAATTTTCGCTGGTGCTTGTAATCCCCCTGTGTAAGAGCGCGACGGCCTTCGGACATACTCATGGAAATGGAACTGACCGGCCCAGGCCCAGGTAATGAAATGAATGCAGAACGATTTGATCCTGGTCATTTGGGTGGTAGCTGGAGTCCAACTCAGGTCTGTATTTTTTTTTTTTTTTTTTTTTTTTTTTTTTTTTTTTCCAGGTCTGTATTTCAACAGGTGATTGGTGTACCAACTGAGCTATAGGCCCCTTTGTGCTGGCACTGGTAATCACATTATTATTGTTTTCTTTTTTTCTGTGGTAATCATATTATATAGTAGGGATAATTTGCAAAATACCCCCATAAGTTGAGATGTATGCCAAAATGCCCCTGAAAGATGTGGGTAGAGCAGAATGCCCTTTTGGGCCTAAATCTTTGTGTTGTGCCCCTGTCAGGAGGGTGTGCAACTTGCAATCTGGACCTTCCCGTTTGGGCATTGGCATTTTGCAATAGCCCCTAGGAAAATCAGGCAAGTACTGGGGCATTTTGCAAAGTTGGACGGTACCTGGTAGGGGTATATTGCAAAGATGGGGGTCCAACCGACGCCAGGGGTATTTCACAATTTTTTTTTTTTTGTCAGAGGGGCATTCCGCTCTACCCACATCTTTTAGGGGCATTTTGGCATATATCTCAACTTTTGCGGGTATTTTGCAAATCATCCCTATATATTATATCTTGCTTGGTTTTTATGAACTGGCTCTGGCTCGACGCTGCACTGACTCCACTGAGAACTCAAACCCAAGATGGTGTCAACATGGTGACGAGCTGGGGACTACCGGTAGGTAGGGACTGCTCCATTGGCGCCGCCGATCTGACTGGTGTTTTACAATAATGAATGATGACATGTGTGAACTCCAAGATGCTGACATTATGGCATGCTTGCCAACTGAGTCATTAGGCTACCGGAGTGGGCGGGGGGACCATTTTTTGCCCGGCCGGGCGCAAAAAAAATAAATAAATGTTTTTTTTCTTTTTTTTTCTTTCCATTTTTTATTGTAAATTTGGTAAAGAATTTCGTTGTGAGCGTGAGGCAAAAGTTGTTCAGTTTATTTTTCTGCATAACATAATGTTTTTTCCCAGATTTTTTGGATAAAATAAAAATTATTGGGAGCTTTTTGGGTCCTTGCACGGCCGGGCCACCCGGGCAAACAAGGCTACCCGGGCGACCCGGGCGCCCCGGCTGGTCGCCTAGCAACTGGCTGCTTTTTTCCTTCTCTCTTGGCTGGGGTCGTGCAAAAGAGCTCATGTTGCTGTTTGATGACATATTGAGCTAAGTGCCTGGTTTTATCAGAGAGTGTGTTTGCATGCGTCATACAAAGTGTCTTCATGGGTGCATCTTTCTCCTCTCCTCTCTATGTTGTGCCGAAGACAGTGTCGAGACTCGAGAGTGTGTGCGCAGACAGTGTTTGCATGCGCTGACTGTTGTTCCCGAACTGTTCTTCACTTCACTTCTCCACTTCACTTCACTTCACTGTTGTCAGAGACGATCCTTGATTTTATTTATTTCCCCCCCCCCAAGAGATGATCCTTATGTTGTAACCAATGTTGCAATGCCACAGGGAGCGTGAGCCACACACCTTCGGATCGAAGAAGCAGCAGCGGTCAAATTGGTCTGCAACGGTGGTCGTGTATACTTATGCGCTATCAGATTCTTTGTGGGAGAATTAAGCTATATATGGTGACTGGCCATATCCTGCACAGACTTTGGTGGTCCTGAGACCAAGCTGACGGTTTCTAGGACGAGAACAAACAGGTCGAGAGATTTTTCGCTGCATATGCGCTGATGGTCTCTCGAATGAGGACACTGCAGGTGGAGGAGAGCTGCCTGCTCGGTTCGATTGGTTCCCCTTTTTGGGATCCCCCAAGGGCTGAAGTTTAAAAACTCGACTCCCTGGCGGTCTGATCATCGATTAAGCCGCTGATCCCTCCTCTTTTTGGGAGAAGTTCGTGTGCAAAGTTGCACGCAGGTGCTTGTCTCCGCTACAGATCGAAGGTATAACTTGTGCAGACGACGGATTTTTCTTTCTGGTGCAGCGGCGAATATATAGGTCGGTCCACGGCGTCTCCATGTCATTGGAGCTCTTGTTAGATTCTTGAACAAGCTGATAGCTGTCCACATCTGGCAGACACTTGAGCTTGTGGCCATATATATATACATACATATATATCTATATATATTATATATAGATATATATAGATAGATATATATCATATCCTTTCCATTGGCATTCATCATGGAGCTAGCCGAGGGCATTCTTTCTGCCACTGCATCTCCGAGTGGCTTTTCGTTCCCTGGCCCTTCTGACGTCTGTGCGTCACGCAAGTCTCCTTCTTGTGTAAGAGCTGCATCTTGCATACCGTCGGCCGCGATGACTTCTTCTTCTGCTTCTTCATCCTGCCTGTCAACGGAGGCAGCAGCGCTGAGGGCACGGACAAGCAGTCATCGACTCCTCGGAGGAAGCAGCCTGTGGCCTTGCGAGCAAGCTCTGTGGACAAGTGATGCAGGGGCAGGCAGACGGCAACCTGCAAGGCGAATGAAGGGCAGACAAGCGAGGGTAAGATCCGCACCCGTTGCAGAGCTGGCACCCAACGATGGTGTGAGGTGGTGGGAGAGGAAAGGTGGGGAGAATGTCAAAGACATTCGTTCGGCGCAAGAGTTCGTGGATGCATTGTCGGCTGCCGGCGAACGCCTTGTTGTCGTGGATTTCTATGCCACCTGGTGCGGTTCTTGCAGGGCTCTCTATCCAAAAGTCCTCCGGCTAGCATCCGAATACAGCATGGTAGATTTTCTGAAAGTTAACTTCGATGAGAACAAACCCCTGTGCAAGAGCCTCAACGTCAAAGTTCTGCCCTTCTTCCACTTCTATCGCGGTGCATCTGGTCGATTGGATGCTTTCTCGGCATCAATCACCAAGTTCCAGAAGCTCAAGGATGCCGTAGAACAACACAATACGGAGCGCTGCAGCTTAGGCCCGCCTCTCGGGGTGGGGGACATACCGCTCCCAGGCGTGAGCAGGCCAACAGCGGAGCCTGACTCCTCCGCTATCCCCCCTTTATCGCCTGCCACCCCTGTAGGGTCCTCTGCATCTCCTTCACCCTCGGTACTACCCTCCTCTCTGTCCACGAGTTCCTTCTCTGATGCCTCCTCAGATTTCCCCCTCAACACTGGAGTTAGCCCCTCTTCATTTCCCTCCTCTGTTCCCTCCTCTGTTCCCTCCTCTGTTCCCTCCTCATYCCCCCCCCCCSCCGCTGACAATCCTGACTCGATACCCCCCCGTTTGCCTGCATTCCTGAACCAGAAATGATGACCTCCCCCACTTCCAGATGCGCCACCACCGTATGTGGGAGAGCCGCTGTAAGGGGGGTTGAGCTGGTGGGACCAGCAGGTGGAGCTGGGGAGTGACCTACGTAGTACTTTTATTATATTGCGCATCATGTACCACACTCCGTCTGGATTCATGCTCTCTTCGTCATGGTTGAGGGAGGGTGCTACTTCAACCAATCTTTGAAACTCGAAACCGAACGATTGGATGAGATCCGACGATCGGAAGCACACCTTACTGCTGCTGCTGCTGCTGCGCTGCTGCTGGTGGTGGTGGTGGCGGCGGCGTGAGGTATGGATGCAGGAAAAGACAGAGAGGTGGTTTGTGATGGCGTTAGCTGTGTGGTTGCCGCCTCACTCGTAATGGGGTTCCAGCTGTCGTCCGATTTTGTCGTGCCGACGACAGCTGTCAAGCTCGCGTAGAGTCATTGGCTTGTTTTTGGATTCTTGCTGCCTCCTAAAAATAGTCAATAACCACCTCCAGGCATCTGTTGTATGGACCAGAAACTGGGGTATAATAATAATTATTTAAATTATGGACATGGCTCGCAAGCTGCGTTGTCACAGCCAGAGTACTCTGGCTGTGGCCAGATGCGCCTTCGCTACTGATAGGCACCGCATGCCGCTCCTCTCTCTCTCTCCCATTCGCTACTGATGGTACGGGAGCTCGCTCTCTTGCTCAGTCTCTCTCCCTGTACCAAATGGCTGTGTTCCTGTTTTCACAAATCTGTGTGTTTCCAGCTCGTGGAAAACACACTCGTAGGGGGACTCTGAAAAAAAAACCGTCTTTCGAGCATTGTCACTATGGTGTAAATATTGCTTTTAATATTTTCTGATATTTGAATCATATTTCTTTACACTGCTGCGTCATGGAGAGGAGGAGAGTGGTTGTCAAACTGTGTATGCCTGTATCAAATTTGAAATTTCCTTTCTTGTTTTTCTTTTTTTTTTTATGTTCACGCTTCCCGTGTGTCTGTCTGCTTCGCTATCCCTGTGAATGATCGTTGCTATTCATTTCTATGCCTCTCTTGCTTGTTAATCACATTCATACTGTTTTCATAGTGACCGGGCGTAGAGCTGACTGGTCACTCGTCTTTTCCTCTCTGATCTGATGGGTTTTTTTTTTTTTTTTTTTTTTTTTTTTTTTTTTTTTTTTTTTTTTTTTTTTTTTTTTTTTTTTTAATTCAATTTCAACTTGCATCAACACTGTGTTCTTGTTCAAAACCTCTGTTCTCTCCAGACTCCTCTTTTGCCAGAACGAGGGTCTAATTTTGTTCCTTCAGCGAAGGTCTACACAAATTCCTGTGTCCCACAATTACTGGTTCCAATTGCCAATACGGTGTTTTTTTTTTGTTTTTTTTATTTATTAATAATTTGGACCATTTCGCGATTTATGCGTGTCATCCTTGCGCAGGGGCCGTGCTAATAAGTTAATAACCCTTCTCTGTATCGTTCCAATTTCAATTTTAACGGACGTCCCGAAGGACCCAACTTCCGATACTTAATTTGTTGAACACTCTTATGGATCTCCAAATTCGAGAATTATTGGATCAGATGTGTGCATCAAAAGTGAGAAGTAGCGAAGGGCCCTGCTATATCCAAAATAATGCATTGGGTGGATGCCTTGGCATTGAGAAAGAAAGGACGCAATGAAAGGCGAAACGCCATGGGGAGAAGCTCTCTTTGATCCATGGATTTCCTATAGGGAAACCTCAACGAAGTTGACTTAGCGAACTGAAACATCTAAGTAGCTAAAGGAAAGCACATAATGAAAATGGGCATTTGACTCATGATTCGAGATAAAACAAATTCTATAAAAGAAGAAAATTAATTAAAAGAATGGCAAATATCATATGGTTAATACCTTGATTTTTTTAACATGCATCCAATGATCCAACCCTGAAATTACGTGATGTCACTTATGCGGCTCACACAGATGATGTTACGAGTCTTATGACGAACAGTGAACTTGAGGATGTGCATGTCGAAAAGTAAAACCGCCTCTCTCTCTCTCTCTCTCTCTCTCTCTCTCTCTCTCTCTCTCTCTCTCTCTCTCTCTCTCTCTCTCTCTCTCTCTCACACACACACACACTATATATATTTTGGGCCATTTCTTGATTAGTGTGTTTTGCAAAGTGCCATGATTTTTAATTTTTTTTTTTTGGCCCATGCTAATTTTGAATTTTCTCTGATTGCTGATCGTCACTGTATTTCCTGTACCCTCTGTACATGCTATGCAGCAAGCAAGCATCGTACAAGCAGCAACAAGCAATCAGCAGACAAGCAGAGAGCGAGCCAGAGTGAATGTGAAAAACTCGAAAGATAAGAAGAATTACACACTGGAGTCATCGCAATTTGCCATAGCCGTAGATCTGGCTCACCCCCTACTCCCCTCCTTAAGATCCGCTATCACCCTCGGAGCGGATCGCGGGCACTATCCCCCACCCACCTTAATCCCGGCCGCCAGCACCAGCCTCATCAGGGGGTTACGACCTTTGAGCTGCAGAACTACCTAGGAGCTATTCTCCTACTCATGACATTCCGTGGCCCATTTCTCGTTAGTACCGTACCGTCCTCTCTCTTACTCAGTCCCAGTACTTTTTTTTCCCCTTTTTTCCCAACTCCGCCAGTTCGTCTGTTGACGTCATCTGTCTTATCCTATACAGCCAGTCCCTATTTTTTTTTTTGTTTTTTTTTTTATAAAAAAAACGGGCCCAGTGCCCAAGGCTGATATTACAAATGAGAATATTGAGGCCGGGGTCCTCACAGTCTACCCGGAGTAACCAAAAAGACAACTGCTGAGAACTACTGAGAACCGGGCTCAGCCTCCCACATATTATGCCAGTCCCAACTCCACTAGTTCTGTAATTTGGTGTGGTAGTTCTGTAACCTCAATTGCCTTTTTGCTTGTTGGGATCGATCGAATAAGATTTTCAAAATGCTGGAACGTAAGAAAGGTAAACTCCCCCCGTCCCCAGACCTCATTTCAATGTTCTTCGGATAAATTTGATACGTCAACGCATTTTTCTTCCCCCATCTCCACCCTCGTGCCCAAGAAACTCCACCTTCCTTTCCCGCCTCATCTCTCCTCTTCAACATAACTCTCTCTTCTCGTAGGTGTCCATAAACGTCTTGAGAACACTGCACATTCTTTCTTCCCCGTTCTTTCCTGGGCACCAAATGTATACTGGCTGCTCCTCCGACCAGATTCCTGTCTGTCCCTAAGCTATTCAGGAATTGAAACTCATTCATAGCACACAATATACAGTTATAATATTGAATATACAATGTCATGCCGATTGGGGGCTGCTGCTTTTCTCCATTGGGATGCCAAGTCGTTGCCTAATCAGGCGTCGTGACGCAACAAATGAATGTATGCGATCCAACTGATAATCAATCGTCAACCATTGATTCCAGCAGCAACTCAAAATCAATCTTCAACCATTGATTCCAGCAACTCGTAATCAATCTTCAACCACTGATTCCAGCACCAACTCAAAATCAATCTTCAACCCTTTATCTTGAGTATCTTCCATGCCTTTTGCTTTTTGCTTGTGTCCGTACAGGTACGGACACATAACCACAGACTGTTTCATCTCCCCCCTATCTTAGCGAACGGCCTTCCTCTCCCCTTTCCCTCTACCTCTTACTGTTACAAACAACCCCCCCTCTTCCCCACCCCCCCTCCCTCTGCCGTGCTAGAGGTGACTGCTCGTTTCAGCACCCCTAGCACCCAGACGGGTGTTCAAAAAAAAAAAAAAAAAAAAGTAGCCACCTCAAAGCCTTTCGGATTGACACGTGCGGACGGCTTTGTTGACGTGGCTACTCTCTTTTTTTTTTTGTTTGTTTGTTTTTGAGGTGGCTACGCAAGTTTTTCTTTTGAGGCCGCTAAACCTCTCTCTTTGATGTCAATTGCGGCCGTCCAACTTACCTTCGCCCCTTCTTTGCCACACACTTATTGACTTTCCTCAATCCGTCTTTTCAACAACATTCACTTGAAGGACTTCAAATTGACGTGCAGGGACTTAGGTAGAAATTGACGGTGCAGGGACTTAGGTAGTAGGAAAAGTTGAAGTCCAGGGACTTTGGTTAAGTTTGGTAGTAACCAGTAGGAAGAAAAGCAGCAGCAGGTGATTCAATTCTCTTGCAGTGCGGCTGCTTGCCTTTTTTTTGGACGGCTACGAAAAAAACGGACGGGCTGATCGATCTGTATATGTATCGACGTACTATGTCCTTGCTGCTGTTTGGAGTTACGTATTCCTGTCCCTCTTACCAACCTCTTCTCATACCCCTCTTCTCTTATACTCTGTGTGGCCACAATCTCTGTTTCCTTTCTCCATTCCGCCGTGAAACGGCTGTGTTTATCTCACTTTCAGGTTGCAATTGGTTGACGGAATCGCGAGGAGGAGGAGGAGGAGGAGAACAAAGCAAAGTATGCCATTGCAACACCATCGAACATAGTCAAATAGTTCATCTCACTTTCAGGTTGCGATTGGTTGACGGAATCGATATCGAGGAGAGTGCAATGGCTTGAGAGAGGGATGGGAAGCAGTAAGCGGTCCCTCTCAAGGATAAATTATGGTGACGGATATCTTTTTTGTGGGGCCCACGTCCCACCTGATCAAAGCTGCCATCATGCTGCTGATGCACAGGGCGACTGATGTAGGCATTCATGGGGGCTCCTCTGCTTGACAAGGCGAGTTGCAACTATGACACATTTGACTACCAGTCTGCTGCAGATCGGCCGGCAGAGACTGTGCAATGGTAGCGCCGCAGCTGCATTGCCAGTGATCCTTCTATCCTTCAATATATATCCTTCGTTATATCCTTCGTTCTATTCTTTCATTATATGCTTTATTGTATTCTTCATTATATCCTTCATCCCTCCCATTCTTCATTATGCCCTTCATTTTATGCCTGAATGGCTGTGGAGCCCTGATCAACCGAACGAAGGAGAGACGGATTGGGCTTTTGGTGTCCATGAGACCCATAGCATTATTCCCACCGATGCATTCATTCTCACAAAAGACAAAATACAAAACATGGTAACATTAAAAAAATAATAATAATAATAATAAACGGTATTAGTTGGTAACATACTGCAGTTCGCATTATTAAAAAAAAAAAAAGGAAGTTTATATGCGTTACAAATGAAAAACAAACTCCGACTGGCATCTACCTATTCTAGGAGAGGTAGTAGGTCGAGTCTGTGAGCTTTTTTTTTTTTTTTTTTTNTTTTCTCGGGCATGGCTGAGACATCTCAGCCGTGGCCCTGCCACATGGCGGGGAAAAAAAAAAAAAAAAAAAAGGGCCACGTGCCTGACTGAACTGCTAAAAAAGGTCAGCCCGAGTTTCAACTGCATTTGAAACTAAGGCCCTTACTAAAAGAACTGCTAAAACGCAGTTTGAAATGCAATTACAAACTGTAACCCTGACTGCACTGTAGTTTTCTCTCTTTTGTATTTTTTATTAGAAGATGGCTCCAATCTATTGGTGGGGAGCTGCACCAGCTGGAAATCGGGTCAAGCGTCCCAATTGCAAAACCGGAACAAATCATGAGTAGTTATTGATGAGCAGCATTGGTTGCCCTCAGGCGAGGGGATTAACTGCTGTGTGTCATCTATGGCTATTATTGAATGGACGGTCGGGGCCATCATCCGGAGCTTGCATCAATGTCGGGGATTATGTCCCCCTTCTACGTGCGCGCAACTGCTCCTTCATTCGTCCCAGCACCCTCTCCTGCGGACATCGAAGAACAACGGTCGACACGGCCGCCGCCATGGCCTGCAGCTCAAGCGGCGTCAACAACGCAAGTGCACCCTCTCCGCCG